AAATGCTCATAACTCAGAAGTTATTTGTCAGAATCAACTCAAACTTTCTACACAGTATATGTACATCAATATGTATCAGAAAATGTAATAAAAATTTGGGGTAAATTCGGGGCCATTTTTTGGGAAAAAAAATGGGCTATAGCCTTGGGTATTTTTAAAAAATTTTGGCACTTTCTTAAAATGGCCGTAACCCAAAAAATTGAAGTCGGAATCAGCTCAAACTTTCTACACAGCAAAAGAACATCAATATGTATCAGAAAATGCAATAAAAAATGGGGGCCATTTTTTAGCCTATTTTCGGAAAAAACCGTGGGCTATAGCCTTGGGTATTTTTCAGAATTTTGGCACTTTCTTAAAATGGCCTTAACTCAAAAAATTGAAGTTGGAATCAGCTCAAACTTTCTACATAGTATAAGAACATCAATATGTATCAGAAAATGTAATGAAAATTGGGGGTCATTTTTTAGCCATTTTTTTGGAAAAAACCATGGGCTATAGCCTTGGGTATTTTTCAGAATTTTGGCATTTTCTTAAAATGGCCATAACTTGAAAAATGTAAGTTGGAATCAGCTCAAACTTGCTACACAGCATAAGGACATCGATATGTATCAGAAAATGTAATAAAAATTTGAAGTGATTTCTGAGCCAATTTTTAGAAAAAACCATGGGCTATAGCCTTGGGTATTTTTCAGAATTTTGGCATTTTCATAAAATGACCATAACTCAAAAAATTGAAGTCGGAATCAGCTCAAACTTTCTACACAGCATAAGAACATCAATATGTATCAGAAAATGTAATAAAAATTGGGGGTCATTTTTTAGCCTATTTTCGGAAAAAACCATGGGCTATAGCCTTGGGTATTTTTCAGAATTTTGGCATTTTCTTAAAATGGCCGTAACTTTAAAAATTGAAGTTGGAATCAGCTCAAACTTTCTACACAGCATAAGGACATCGATATGCATCAGAAAATGCAATAAAAATTGGGGGTCATTTTTTAGCCTATTTTCGGAAAAAACCATGGGCTATAGCCTTGAGTATTTTTCAGAATTTTGGCATCTTCTTAAAATGGCCATAACTTTAAAAATTGAAGTTGGAATCAGCTCAAACTTTCTACACAGCATAAGAACATCAATATGTATCAGAAAATGTAATAAAAGATTACATTGTTTACTAAAAAATTTTGGGTTTGTCATGGCACATTCTTGCCCAGCCTTTAAATGCAATCAAAGTCCATATTGGAAAAACTAATCAAAAACAAAGCCACAACTTATGCGTAAATATTAGATTATAAATATTAAATATTTGCATAAAATAAAAGAGAGAGAAGAGAGAGAGAGAAGTTACCATGTCCAACTTTCTCTTCCCATCCAATGCCATGCTGAATATAAATGTTGCAATGACACTCCCGGTCATTGAGAAGTATGTGTTGATGATAGCTCTGTACTGAGCATTACCAGAAGCCAAGGCTCCGTTGAAACTGGGCCAGAACAACCACAGAAACAAAGTACCTACACGTAAAATAATGAAGAAAAATTTCTAATTCAATGACAATATACAACTACTACAACATAATTCAGTCAGTACACTATCATAAATTCCAGTATACTTTAGTAAATCCCAATATATCTTACCAATCATGGCGAACATATCAGAATGATAGGCACTTGAATTTCTTGGATGTTCAATGGCTTTCTTCCTTTGAAGAATGACAGAACATGCAAGACCAAAATACGCTCCAAACGAGTGAATTATCATTGACCCGCCCACATCAGCCGCTCGAAAGACATGATCATTGATGGCGTTATTAGCAGAGTAGAAGATAACTTCAAAGATAGCGATACCAAACAGCTGGAAAGGACTAGCCCTTCCTAGCATGGAGCCAAAAGTTATGAGAACAGCAGCTGCAGCAAAATCAGATAATACCAGACTATAAGAGAGAGAGAGAGAGAGAAAGAGGAGAGAGGGCGAAAGAAAGAGAAAGGGAGAGAGAGAGAGAAAGGAGAGAAGGCAAAAACAAGACATATAGTAAACACATGTTGTTGACCATAAGTCAAAATTCCAAACCATAAGCAAGTCGACTTACAAATACCAACAAGAGACAAACAACACACATAAGATACTCATAATAACGAATGTAACGCATACATGTAAATGTATGTTATATAACAAATACACATGCACATACATAAATATAC